TGCTGAACACTTTTTTCATATATACACTAACTGTGCATGTATCTTCTGTGAAATATCTGTTCAAATCGCTTGCCATTCTCTCTCTCTCTCTCTCTCTCTCTCTTTGTGTGTGTGTGTATGAGTCTTGAGAGTGAGTGTGTATGGAAGCCAGAGGCCACACTTCAGTATTGCTGCTTCGGTGTTAACAATCATAAATGTTTTCTATTTGTATGTATTTACATTTATTTCCTGTCATGTCAGCCTTTCTAGAAAGTTCTATATTAGGAAAATTTTAGTTTTGAGGCCATATGTTTAGTTCTAAAATTTCTATTTGAGTTTCATTTTTATTTTAATTATTTGAGATTCTCCTTTACTTTCTAGATTTCTCCTATACAAGAAAATGTGCTTTGTTTAACTTCCTATAACCTGGAGTAGTTACAAATGCTACTTCAACATCCTTTTAAGTTACAATGTTTATTTATTTTTTTCATTGAGAATGTGCTACATTGTCTTGAATCAGGTGTCATGCAGCCTTTTCGCTTCATTGTATGTTGTAGAATCCTGGTATTCTGTTGTTTCCTCTGATGAGCATCTTTTTCTTTACCTTTAGCAAGTAATTATTTGAGGTGGGACAGAAGTTCATACTGTTTCCTGTGCCACAGGCTTGGTCTTGCTGCAGTGGTTTGGCTTGGAACCTGTCCTGGACAAGTGTGGTTAATAGATCAGTCAGAGTTATTGGCAGAGAATTTGATATTCCTCCATTTTGTCATTTTTCTTCAAGAGAAGTGCTACATTTCATCTGTGTACACCTTACACTCTGTACTGAGCCCTAGCTGGAGAAACAGATCACATTTGGAGTGTCCTCATTTCCCCTTCTTCAAGCAAGCATGCATTCTTCACCTGGCATCCTCCATGTTCGATCTCTTCCTACTGCTTTTTCTACAGCATGTCTGAGCTTTTAGCTGTCCACAGGGAGATTGCCTTGAGGATCTTAGGAAGAGCTATCAAGAAACAAACCCAAACCATTCCATTTGGGTTTTGTGGTCATATATAAAATTATGTGTCTTTGAAATTAATATACTAAGTTATGGAATATTGTTTCCCAAATGCTAGGGTTTTGTTTTGTTTTGTTTTTTGTTTTTTGGGGGAGGGTTTTTCTTTGTAAGTTGTGGTCCAGGAAGAAAATAATGTGTAAAAGAGGTCCTCATCCTTGACAGTTTGTAATCTAACAGGATGAAATAAATGTGCAGAACTGTTAGACCATGGACTGAGAATGCCACCATAGGGGAGAGAGGATGGTGGAAATCCTAATCATACACCTTTTCAGTGGCGAGACAGCAGGGGACATGCCATGAATAATAGGCACTGTGATGTTTAAGAGCTTAAATGGTACCAAATGGTTGTGTGTGGTGGGGGTAAAGGAAAGGAGGGCATTTCTGGAAGTAACAGCATATGAACATATGGCCGCAGGCTTGTGGATGTCAATGTTGAGTTTGTCAAGCAGTCCCCTTGGAGAAACTGATGTAATATGCACCCTCAGGCCTCATTACAAATTCTTGTTCAGAGGTCCAGGGTACTATATGCAGATCTGAAATTTTTTGGAATCACCCTAGTCTTGTCATTTAGGTATTCTGAGATCACCGTCACAAAAGTGACACCTGTGTTGTATCTGCAGATGCTGATCTAGAAAGATCTAGAAAAGTTAGTAAGATGGTGGTAGTCTAAGGCTCAGAATCGATGCTGCGAAGTTACACCACGTTCCCATTAAAGTGCTTGAAATGCCACTTCTTACAGAGATACCTTCTTAAATGTTTGGACTACAATGATACAATGTCCAGATTTCTCCTCAAAATCAGCTGGATTGAGCCTGGTAGGAGTGTGGATTGAATAGGGAGCATATGTTGGTGGTTGACGTATTCCTGCTACTTTATTAATGTTTCCACAATAAAAGCTAAGTGAAAGCAGATTAAAGTAAGATGGTTGTTTTTAAATTTTAATACAGTTTACTTCTGTGGCAGCCAAAGATTTAGTTGACAGATAACTTATTTGTTGAAACATCCCAGCTGCCCCTTGAGATTTCCATTACTGAGATGGGATAACTACATTGTTGGTAAGTTATTTGGGGGATTAAATAAAATAATGTAGTGTAAGGCACTTACCACAGTGTCTGGATCCCTATGATCCAGAAAGGAGATTATTTTCATTATTACTCAAATTGGCAGGCAGTGGAGAGTTCTTAAAGATAGCTGAGCACAATTGTGACACCAAATTACTTAGAGGACTCTGAAAAAAAAAAAAAGGATTTCATTTTGCTGAGGTTGCTACTAGAGGAAATGAAGATCTTAGTAGTGGAGGCCAGGAAACCAGCAAAGCAGGTCACACCTACCTTGCCCTCCAGGCAATATTGGGATATTTCTGCCAAGAATGGGTGGATGCTGAGTCAGCAATGGTGAAAGAGGGGCAAGTTTCTTGCCTGAGTAGGCCTGTGCCTACGTGACTGGATAAGATATCTGAGCCAGCCAGGAAGGTCATGAAGCCAAGAGAAATCTCAGCAGGGCTTGCCAGGTCCTGGAGAATACTAAGAGAGGCTTAGGAATCTTAGCAAATGAGCATGCTGACAGAAGAAAGGTCCACAGTAAGATGCAGTTCTCCACCAGTGAGGTTAAAGGGATGCAGAGGTAGGGATCCATAACAAGCTTCTAGAGGAATTGTAATGTGTGTGTGTGTGTGTGTGTGTGTGTGTGTGTGTGTGTGTAAACAAAAGTCAGTTCTTCTGAGAAATCAGTGATATCACTAGGTCTGTGTGTTGTCTTGGAAGGCGCACAGGTCACTATCTTAAGGTTGAAATGCATTCCAAACGCCATTACTTTGACTGGAGTTATGACCAGGGCTACATTAGCCTCTGTCACTGAATTTCATCAGCGATTCCTTCTCATAAGACGTACCAGTTTTCAACTAGAATGATCTACTCTAATACAAATGACTACTCATAAGTTGTAATCATTTGTCTCCTCATTACCATGTCTGGGTTCCTTAAAAAGATGTAACAGAATATCATTTTCAAAGACACAGATCTGCTTCTGAGTGGTTGACTCTGCATCCACAGGCCATGGTTATAAGCTACTGTGTTAATAGTGAGAGTCTCTTCTCTGCCTCCCTCCTGGTTGATACTGTACAAGAAATGAAGAGGATGGAAGCCTAACTGATGTGGCTCTGAGGTTAAAGGACTAAAACTTCACAGGGAACAAAGACTCTTAATATAACAGTTTACTAATTTGTCTTCATCAAAACAGCAAAAATCCAAACAAATGGCAAACCTTGTTCTAAAAAGCAGTTTCTTTTTGTAAATCATGAGGTTAAGATTACTTAGACAATTTATCCAGACTTTATTTGCAAAAGTAAACTTTTGCAAAATTGTAGTAAACAATATTAAATACCCCAAGATAATTGGAATTTCACAAATCATATTTGTAACAGACAATATAGACCTCTGGAGCAATTGCAGTAGTGTGTAAATTTATGTTTATTGATATGCAAAAATGCTTATAGCATGTATTATGTAGAAAAACAGATTTCAAATATTGGGTAGTTTGAGCACATTCTTGTAACAAAATAAGTCAGCTGTCTGTTGTAGAGTAGAGAGAGGACATATGGAAAACTGTTCTGTGAATACCAGTGTGAACTATTTAGAGCACATCCTACTTTTACAACTTTGATTCTCAAGTGTAGAATGTTTATATTCTTTATTTTAGTTCCATCATTGTTTATATAGTGAAGAGAACTGAAAAGAACATTTCTTTATGATCTGTGACTTGTAACTTAGAAACTTACATTTCAATATTTTTAGATGCTGGTAGATGAAAGATTATAACTCTTTTATCTTTTCCACACAGTTCATTAATATCAGTCTGACTTTCTGTGGTGAAATTAATTCTGCTCTAATTTTCAACAGTTGGCCAGATTCCGTAGCCTCCTGTGCACAGCCGAGGGTGAGACAGCGGCTTTTCTGTTAAGCAATCATCGTCCACCACAGCCCTTGAAGGGCCGCAGAGTGAGAGCATCTTTCTATTAACAGACACCAGTGGATCAACCCAGCCAGGAGCACGAGGGCGGCAAACAAAACAGAACTCAGTCATTCCTACTAACAGATTTCTAGACTTTCAAGTTAATAGATTCCACTTTACCAGCAGCTTTGGCACCACAGAGATCTGAACTAACTTAGCTCATCTCTCCTAGATTTACATCAACACATGTCCAATTGGTAAACATTGTTGGGCATATATTAATACCACAAAGTACACCTTTTCAGCCTTCATGACCATATGGCCAACCTTACAAACCTCAGACTGTACTAAAAGTTTGTTGTGGTCTTTGGCTGATCCTGCCACATTTTAAATGGTATTTGCTAAGACTTTAAATTCACTTTGAAAATGTTATAATTCCTAAACAAGTAGTTCTTAGAGTTTTTATGTTTCTTATTAATCAAGACTATATATTTCCTTTAATGTATTTTTTTCTCAAACTCTCCTCGTGTGTACTGTGTGATATAGTATACTACATGAGGTACACAGGGATTAAGATAGAATAATGTGTTTACTTTTCTGATCAAAGTAACATACAGCATTGGTGAGGAATTCTTCAGCATGTAAACAGCTATTTAAGGTATTATTTCATGTAATATATTCACCTAAGAATGTTAATAACCACCAAAGTGATGATTGACGTATTGTGTGGCAGTGTTAGCTGGCTCATGACATTAACACGGTTCAGACTGTCAGGTTGCACAATACTACTGCAGCAAAACCACCCTGAGCTGGTGAACAGGTTCCTGCATTTGCCCTGTGTTTTAACAGAGCAGGGAGCTGTCCTGTGTCCGTTGATTTTTCTGTCACTAGTGAAAAAATGGAACTGAGTCTCACATAAATCCCTAGGCCATCTAGTGCATTTTCCTTGTACAGCTCACATTTGTACATGTTGCTAAGTCTCTCACGTGATTTAATAAGATGCCATTTGGTTTGGTACTAGTTTTAACCTGTTCGGTTTTTTTTTTTTTTTTTTTTTTTTTTTTTTTTTAGGGGGGGGGGGGTTTTACTATGTTTCCATTATGGAGTAACCCTACAAGTAACCCAATATCCATGCTTAAGACTTGAGTTATTTGTTACATTTTTGCTATTTTCTCAGAAAATGTCCCTGGGTTTCTTAATTTCAATGCTTTGTTTTAGATCTCTCTCATCTTCTAAATGTAAAGTTAATTATTGAAAATGTTCTCTGTATCTTGGTAGAATAACTTCATTTTGAGAAAATTGTATGATGAGGTCCTTTCACATAAGACAAGAGCCTGATGATTAGAACGGACACCTCAGCCATTGTTTTCCCCTTGCAGTGCACAACTTCAGCCTTGAGGAAGACCCATATACCATAAATATTTAATGAGTTAGATAGGTAAAGGTTTTATTTGATAATTTTGGTAATTCTGAGATCAATGCAGCCAAATGAATATAACAATTAAAGTAGGATATTTCTTGAAAATTTTTCAAAGGCAATATTTTTTAATCCACTTTTTTTTAACCAGACATCCTAATGGTTTTAAACATGTCAGTGTTGGGTGGGAAGGTATTTCTTTAGTTTGGAAACACATGCAGGGAAATGTTCTAGTCAGAGAATGAGTCTGTTTCATCAGCATTTAAAATGTGTGAAGGCAGGGACTCTAATGACAACTATGTGTTACACAACTGATAACTCATATTTTCACTGCAGCATGGTGTCTGCTCTGGATGTACATCTTACCACAGTGGACTAAAACTATCCACCAGCACTGGTTTCCTTGGAGTTCATCTGCTTATGTAGCTCTCTTGGAGGTAGATGGTCAGTGCTTTAAAGTTGTCATAGTAGTCTCTTTCAATAGAATTGTAAATTACTCATGTGGATGTCTTATTTCCCATATTACCTATTGATTACTTCTTGTAAAGCATTTTGTATTATAATTTAATTTGATTCATCTTTAATAAAGAAAACAAGAAAAACACTTGTCAGTAGCAAAGCTTTATATATGCAACAAATGAAACTGGATAGTATATTTTAGACTATTTAAAAGGAAATAATCTCAAATTTATAAGAACATTTCAAATACAATGCAAAGCAAACAGAACCATTTCCTCTGGATTATTTTAAAGTAAGGTGCCATCCCAAGTCCTTACAGTTTCACTGTATGCACACTAATAACCTCATGCTTTGCAACTTGGGGTAAGAGCACAGAATTCTCAACGTTGTTCAATGAAAAATGCCATTCATTGTATTGAATTAAATGGGTTTTTTTCCGAAGTGGCTGGGGACTCACCTTTGACTCCCCAAAGAGGAATTATACCAGCAATGAATCCTCCAGTCCTGCTGTGGATTGAGAGAAGTCTTCCTGACAGAGCCTCGTAATTCCTTTCTTTGCTCCCATTAAAGCAAATCACCCAGTGGGAGTCTGTGGGTTCATTAAACATTCCTGTTAAGGAGTTTGTTTTTAGTACAGGTTATTCTGGATGGAGACTGAAGCTGGTTTTTCTGAGCAGTGGTCACAGCAGGAGAGTCCAAGAAATTCTTGGGGAGTGTATGTGTTCCTGAATTCAGAAGGTCTCAGCCTCAAGTTTCTGATGGAAGGAATGACTTCTAAAAAAAAGAATCAATGAAGGTCTGTAATTTTGATGAGGACCTCTGGAAATAACAGCTTTATGCATGCAATTCCAGTCATCTGTGGTTGATTGGTGATGGAAGGAGTTGGAGGTATAAGGAAGCTGCACATACATAATAACTGTTAGCATTGAAACAATTCTACATGATGGCAGTTTTCCCACAGGAAGGCACAAATTACTCAGTATTTCAGATGGAGGGGGAAAATATTTGTAATTAATTCCGAAAGTAATGGAAAGAGCAAAAACAAAAACAAACAATACCACAGGACAGGGAGATAACCAAGAGATTACTAAGATCAGTAAGCCTCCACACTCCTTAGTGGGAGTCAGTGATTCCTGTGGTAGTCTAGGAGCCATGGCAACACACCTCAAGTTCGGTAGGCTTGAAGACCATCCTCATCCTTATCATTACAACATCCTTCATCATTTTTTATTAAGAGGACCATCTCCTCTCTGGAACCCTGCTTGAGGTAGAGAAATATGGAGAACAGTCTAGATTTTTCCAGTGGTGGACCCCAATGGGGTGGTCCTGTAAGTGGGTCACTGTGAGGCTGGACTGGAGCCCTCCAGAGGTGCAAGACCACTATCACACATCTATCGCCCCCTGGAAATTTAACAATGACTTTACTGGGTATCTTATATACTAACTACTGTGCTAGATATAAAGATGACTGAGAGATGATTCCTGCTCTTAGGCAGCTCAAATATTCCAAGCTCTGAGAACAGATTTGATCAATACAAGATACTAAGTTTATTAACTTGGGGTACTTATGGAGTATCATGGCAACAAGGAGAAGATGGATCTAGTGTTGGAGAAGTTAACTAAATCAGGAAGGTTTTCAGGTGACTTGCATTCTGAATTACCCCATTTCCTCTCTCGGGGGTTTTGAAACTGGTACATAGGGCATGAACAAATATTAGGATTATTTTGAGATGATAGAAACTTCAAAGTAGATAAGGCAATTTACTGACTCTCAGAATTAAAAGAAAAATTCCAGAGGTTGGGGCTGGAGAGATGGCTCATTGTTTAAGAGCACTTGTTGCTCGTGCAGAGAACCAGGGTTTAGTTCCCAGCAACTTCGTGGTGGCTCACAACCATCTGTAATTTCAGTTCCAGGAGAAATGATGCCTTCTTCTGAACTCTGGGACACAAGGCACACATGCAGTACACAGATGCATGTAAACAAAATATTAATACACAAAAATAAATATATTTTAAAAAATTAAAAAATCTAGACATTAAAATCAAAGGCAAAGCAAAAGCCAAGACCAAGTCTCAGTGTAATACACTCTTGGGAGTTCTATTAACCATCAGTGTATATCCATTTCCCCTCTGTGAGGCAAACTAAAATGCCAAAGGACAGGTTCTATGTCCACAAATATTAAAACGTATCTTGCCTGAATTTTCCTTGGCCAAGAGCAAATCTCCTTCCCAATGTTTAACCAAGTCACCGTAGCCAAGGGAAGACACAGATCAGGGGAAGAGGTGTCTGTATTTAATCTTTTATTATTCTCCTTAGCTACCTTTGAACTTATTCAACACACAGCATGCATTACAAGCTCCAGTAGTCTGTGGATATGTCACACAAAAAACACCAATATAATCCCAGCAAGTAAGAAGCAGAGACAAAAATACCACTGCATGTTTGAAGATAGCCTAGCCTACATTAGGAGCTCTCAGGGACGATGTGGGTGTCATGGAAGGAAGAAGAGGAAGGAGAAGGAGATGGGGTGAGAGGGAAGGGAGGGTGTGCAGGAAAGTATTTGTTGAATACTAGGGAATGAACACATGGATGAAAATAAATGCTGGGATTAATTGCAAGACTAGCATAGTTTGCAGTGTACTTTTCCCCAATGAAATAGCAGGAGCTCAAGATTATTCCAATAAAAACACATGCAATTTGCTTGCTAAAGAAACACTGCCTTGTCGATTAGGAAATCACTCCAAAATAAAGGGAGGGAAGCTTTCCTACAGCCAAGGCCACAAATCTTGGCGTCAAAGCTACCGACACCCTCTGGACAACGAGGAAAGTGCCACTGAGCAGCAGTTGTGAGTGGCTTGCTGACCTCTGGGAGAATCAGAGATACTTTAAGGGGATCAGTGAGGTCACCATTACTTTACAATAGTGACAAAATATTGCTTGCTGTTTCCTTGTTTGGATATGTGTGCTTCTTATTAAAGAAATGATGGCTAAGACTGCTTATTTCTCAGTACAATCAAGACTGTAGCAACAAACATTTCTGAGTATTATTTTCTTCACCAGTATAAAGCCAGTCTCAAAACACCTTTTTTTTTGCTATATTTATTATTTTTATGGCCAAAATGAAATAACATTTACATTATTCTAAATGAATGTCTGAAGGTTTTCAAAAAATGAAATATAAATGGGAAATGTAAACATTTGATGATTTTTCTAATTTGTTCTAACTCCGTATTTAGTTAAGAATACAAAACCCCAAACCATAAAATGTTATTAAAATGAGAACTGACTTACTCTAGCTCATGCATTCCAAAGAGCCATAGCTAGGTGTTAAGACAGGTGTAAAAGGGGCTGGGAAAAGGGCTGGGAGCTTAAGAGAATTGGTTGCTCTTCCAAAAGACCTAGGTTCAGTTCCCAATACCCACTTGGTGGCTTATAATGATCCATAACTCCAGTGCCAGGGATTAGACACTCCCTTCTGGCCTATGTGCTCACCAAGCATGCATGTGGTGCACAGATATATGTAGACTAAACATCCATAAAAGCAAATAAACATGATCAATTTAACCATGATTTGACACAGTTAGTAATAAAGCATAAAGAACACAAATCATTACTGTAACCTTTGTCCTACAGAGTAAGTCAGAAAGAAGCACAAGAACTCCTTGATCCCCAAACCAAACCTTGGAAGCAAACACTACAACCTTTTTTACAACTTTACATAAATAATAATAAAGCAGTCAAAGCCTGGGTTTTTGTCTCTCTTTTTTGAGGAAATAATCAATTAATTGATAAATAATAAAATATTGCTAGGAAACTACTTCCTGATTTTGTTTACTGAAGACATTGTGCAATAACCAAATAATAAAAACAGTTCATATTGGTCTATAAATTCACCAACTAGGTTGGATAATTGAAATTTTGATTTATGGAGAGATTTTTTAGCATCATTCTTATCCATAATATATGTAGTAATATCTAATTCTTAGTGCTATTTTGTTCTTATGTATGATTGTGACACTCGTGTGTGATGGGGCATGAAGCTTCATGATGGTGCTCAAGGACTGATAGCAGTGTTGTTTTCATCTATTTATTGAGTGAGTGAGAAAAAAATAGTGTATTAATTAGGGGTCTCTAGAGAAACAGAACTTACAGAATGAATCTCTCTCTCTCTCTCTCACACACACACACACTCACACACACACA